CTTCAAGAGTAGCTCAGCAGACACGTCACGAACCTCTTCCCACATCCACCGCTCCTTACACACAGTACATACATGGGAGGAGCTATATACAGTGGAAACATTGGTATGGCCCATAAGTTGGAAGACCAAAGGATCTGGAAAATCCAGGCAGTTTGTAGCAAAGAATAAGCCACACCTTTTGGGGACATCCTAGCAGACGGCCAAGGCTTGTGAACAGGAACAGCCATGTGGGGAGCTGACATAAGGGGCACCTTGTCCTCCCAGCTTCAGGAGGACAGCAGGTTTATGCAGCTTTTCCTTTTTGACACGAAATTCCACTCTGGACAAAAATAATATTCTTAGAGTTGTCTTGAGCAATGGTTATCACTTAAAAAAAAAACAGTATTTCAGTTTTGAAAAGTCTGGTACTTTATGTCCAGACAATTTTCACTCACCATAAATTTGTACCCTCCAAGTCAAATGTTATTTGTTGAATATGGTTGAAATGTGATCTAGAATGCATGTGCGAGACTGAGGCAAAAAAAAAAAAAAAATCTGATCTGTCCACATCTTTATTTCTATCTTTGGCATGGCCAAAAGCAGAGAAAATACCCATTCATTCTGCTTATAATCCTTCCTAGCCTCTCAGCCACAGCAAGGAAGAGATGCACAGCAATGCACACTGGGGACATGCAGAATTTGCTGCAAGTGTTGCCTAAGTCTTAAAAATTCCTTCTAAAAATTCCCATAGTTTCAAACCACAGGGCTGCATGCAAATACTGGCAGCGACCTGGGCAAATCCTGGGCCCTAACTTGTTCCCGCAGGGGAGAAAAGTCAGGGCTCATTCTGCACAAAGAATTTGAAAATTATGTGTTTTCCTATGATGTCAGGGCACTAACAGGCAGCAGACTGCAGGAAGGCCACACATACCATTGAATGAATATTTAAGAAAGGCATAAAATGCTCATGAGCAAATTTCTTTGCTATGCATCAACAGAAATCCCGTGCTTACTGCAAAGCTACACTAAAACAACACAATTAACCTACGATAAATCTTAAATGCAGCAACTTGGGAAAATGCTATATGTACCATGCATTTGATGGTTTAGAAACACAGAAAGCCAAAGGATAAAACCGAATCATCATGCACTATATTTTATATACAGTACACACTGTACACTGCTTCTGCAAAACCACACCATCTACAGAGGCATGGAAATGCATAGGAGGATTAATGCACGCCAGTCACATACATTTCTTAATCATTCCTATGGGAGGGCCTGAAGAGGCGAGCAGGAGAATTCACTTCAGCACTTAATGCCAACAAAAAGAATTACCATCCCCTATTGCAAACAGAACCACAATTTACAGAGACTTGAAAAAGCCTTTAAGGTTAATATTTTTGCATCCTTCACACACACCTGTAAGTATTCAAGACTAAATCTTTTTGACTTAATAGCATTTTCCTTGAGGGAGAAAATAAAAGGCCAAATCCTCCCTTCTTTACTGGAAAAAACAGCTTGCGTTGTCAATGGAAAGATCAAATCAGCACAGCTGTGACTGAAAAAACATCTATTTAATATGGATCCCATCGGATGGCCTTTCAGTAAAATCACTAAAAGGAATTTCTGATTTTTTTCCCCTTCTGCAGTATCTTCAATCAATGCCACAACAGATTATGCATTCTAAAGAATTCAGTTTTAATTTCTGAGCCCGTACCCATTCCTTGAGTTTTCCTCAGTAAAGATTACAATACTTCCTGGTAACGTCATTAACTTCTAGGTTTAATGATCTTCATGCATGCTACCTAACAAGTAGTGAAGACATAAATAATGCAGTTGCAGTCACAGTACTGCACCACTGTCACTCTGGCACAGGAGTTGATCAAAACCAATTCCCTATAAAGCTTCCTCTCAACCCATAGGGCAGACACTACACTGAAGAACTGTTAGATCAGCATTTAACTGGGCTGTTTAATTAGCCCAGGCTGATGAGGGGAGCAGTGAGATACCACATTTGGTGAATTCCTTCACCAATACAAGTATTTATGAACGGGAGTATAATCTAATCAATAGCCACAAAAGTGTAAGGAGAGATTGAAATCACCACTTTTTTCTTTTTTTTTTTCTCCTTCTCCTTTTAGGTATGTTGAAACTTTTGGGTTTTAAACAAATTCTTTTGCTTTGGTGCAAACTAACATTCATTAGTTAAAACTGACCTAACCCTAAAAAAATTAACACAACAAAACATAGGCAATTTTACTTCAGATTTTTTTTTTTTATTGAGAAAGTTGAAAACTGAAGGGAAAAATAAAACCTTTTTTTTTTTTTTTTTTGACAGTTCTTTCCGGTTCATGTCTGAGAAAAGAAGTGTCTGCTGCTTGCTCCTTTTACATGGAAGGATTGAGTTTTGTAGGCACTGTCACCGGAACTCACTTCAGTATTATGAAGCTGTATTTGACTGCTGAGGCTTCGCATTGTAAAGCATCAACAAGATGCCATTAGGGTAAGACATAGCTGCACAAGGTAGGCACAGCCATACTTTGGATTGCTAGAAGAGTATTAGCTATTCCTCCCAGATAATAGCCAGAAAAGGTTATACCCTGACATCAGTGCATTCATGCCCTGCAGAGTTGGAAGATTAATCCTCCCCCTATAGGATTCCAGACAACTTCAACTTTCTGAATTTCCAGATGGCTAATTTGGATAGCTCACCTATCTCTCAATCCTTTCTGGCACTTCGCACATATAAGAAATGCACAGCATTCAAAAATACTTGAAAAATATACTATGACCTGGATCTACCTAGAATCTGGAAACGGCAGCTAGTGTAGAACACCGAGGCTGCGTTTGCCTCAAGTTTTCCAAGAAGGGAGGTGAGGAAGCTACAGGCTTATTCTCACAGCCCAAGGCCTGAACTAACCAGATCTATCAATGCAGTATCATCATACATGCACAGCTCTGCTGTTGGTTGTCTCTCTCAAATTTACAATCTAGATTCTTAAATATTATGGAATTCTCAGTTCTTCAGGCACTTACTCAAGATGATGTTTTTGGCAGCCACAGAAGTTCAGGACTAATGTGTCCAATTATTCCCTACTCATATTTGAAAATACATTATCAATTCTTCTCTTTAGAATCAAATTAAAATCATATTAACTCAATAAACTCACCTTGAAGTATTAAGAGTTAACAGTAGTAATAATAAAGTACATGCTAACATTGGTTAAATTTCTTAGCAAAAAATACAAAAATCTTTTAGCTATATCATGCCTTAATGTATTTTTTATATTTTCATTTTATAATTTTTACATTTTTATTATCCTTATAGAAATAATTGCGCTTGCCCCCCTCATCCTTAAAGAGTAGGTGCTCAATGTTTTTGCATTCTTACTCTTGACAAAAGATTCAGTCTCGTTAGTAATCCTAGCAGGCTCAATATATCACTTGCTGGCACAACAAAGCTCAGCAACAGTGCACTGACATGTATTTACAGTATTGCACATTCCAGTATTTCCAGCAAGAGACATACTAACAAGAATCTCTGAAGATGGATGTTTTCATTGATTTTTCTTTTTTGAACTTTGCTTTATACCGGACAAATAAAGCAGGACTGAATTGAGTCCTTGGCCTGTTTTACAATGTTTTCTTTCACTGATAATAGCCAGAAATGAACACAATCAAGACCTAACTCACCCCTTTCTTCTGTCGCTTGCCTTATTTGACTTAGCTGTTTATGCCAGCTTTTGTCCAGAATCATGAGAGAATTAACAACATTGACTACTTGCTTAATTCAAAGCTGTTCAATGCAGATGGGCAGACAGGTATAAGATAAAGACAAAACATTAAAGCAGAGAGCACTGGCATATAAAGTCGATCCAAAGGAAAAGGAAGAGAACAAATGTTTTTACTAAATAAAAATAGTTAGGAATTGCAGAATGAGAGAAAGAAGCTAACAGGAGTGTTACTTCTGCTGCAGCAAACCAGAAGAACAGCAATGAAATAAAATAAACAAAACCCAGTAAATATTTGACAGACACATCTACGCGACTAAATAACACATTTCACTGGGAATCAACATCTCAAAGACAGAAACCATCTTCTCTCTTTTCAGAATGAAAAAGATGCGACTCAAAACCAATCTGATGAAGTATTTAGCAAAACCTTAAGCAGTAGCTCCATGCAAATATACTGAATTTTATTTACATATGCTGAATCATTAAGATGATGGACTTGGAAGAGTGGTGTAACTACAGGTGCCCTAAATGGACTCATTCCTGAGACAGGCTGA